GAATAATTTTGTTTGAGTTAGTACATTATGTAAAATCTCAATTGTATTGCCCAAAATGTTAGTGAAAGATTGAGAAAGAAACCAAATTTAAATTCTGATTCTAATTATTCACTTGCACTTTTTGTGATGAATACAATTAGGACTTTTCAACATTCTCATAGGAGCATATGCCTCTCTGCATCTGTTTCTTTTCCCTTGTATTAATCTTCAGTGTCGCTATATTTATTTCAGACGCTTAAACAATGTTTATGTAGGCTTGAAACACTATTCAGTACATCAAAAAGAAGAACTCTTTTGATATGTCTGATGAAACATGACAAATTGTGTGGATCAGTAGCTTACAAGTGAATATCTGATTCAGCAATGGAATCAAGCTAAAGTATCTGGATGTACTATATAATTTTCTGTTCTCTCCTTTTTTTCCCCCATTAACATGGCGATCTTTGGGCTGTAAGTGAATGCTATTATATTCAAAGTGCTAACTAAAATGGTGTAAGGGGATATAAATAAAATGTAAGGATTATGCATATTTATCATGATTATTTTCACCACTAAGTTGTATTAAATATACCATTGGCAATTACAGCAGAGTACATGGAAAGAGAACAAAGAATTCTTCTAAACAATTTTTGCAAATGGGGAGCAGCCAATAATGTTAAGGCTGGTGTCATTACTTTTCTGATGTAAATTGCACATTCTATGTTACTTTTCTTTTTCCATTTGGTGAACCTTAACCTACCCTTTGTGTGCATCTCTATCACTTGTTGCATGCTTTAACTGAGCCAGCTGATGAATAATCGCTGCTGTACTCAACATTAGTTTGGTCTCCCACTGTGCAAGAAACATTTAAGCCAAAGTGAGAAAACTGAATGCACTAAAAAGAGAAGGAAACTATGAAAGAAGAATAAATTGAGCAAGGAGGAAAAGAAAGAGGTAAGGAAGTTGGGGGAAATGTGGATGGAAGGAAAGAGGAAGAACTGAAGGAACGAGGGAGGAATGTAAGGAGGCAAGAAAAAGGAAGGATGAAGATGAAGGAGAAGGGAGGTATGATATAGGAGGAGGAAGGAAGGATGAAATCAGGAAGATGGAGGGAGTGAGCTGCAGAGAGGACATCCAGGGAGAAATCAGAGTGAAAAATGGAGATGAAGAGAATGGGAAAGGAGTAAAGGTAATGAAGGGAACAAGTGAGAGAAGCAAGTGAGGAAGGACAAAGGGAGAGATCAAACTTTTATTTTCATTTGAGCATTCAGTTTGACCAACTGATTTTAACCTTTCCCTGGTTATGGTTGAAGACAATGCAATTATAGACTTTTAAAAATGAGGTTTCAATATTATAAGAACATGCCACAAGTTCACTTCACGCTGGAATGTATTCAATGATGGAAATTTGTCTATTTTGTGAGAAATGACTTTTTGTGTATGTAGATGCATTACTGTATTACATGCATCTGTTTACGTGTATTTGCCAAATGGTGCTTTTTTATTACTAACTCGCAAATATTTAAAACAGTAATATTTAAATGTATAAATCTGATTTTTTACAAAAGTTTCAAATATGCAACTTGGTTGAACTACCACCTTTGTTTTCCCATCTTATCAGTATATCAGATATTTAAAAATTTACAGATTCAATCTTTAACTTGACTCAAAATCTCCCTTATTTTCATTGATGTAATTGTGATTATTCATTTAATGTTGATGAAAAGTGTTATATATCTCTTGAAACTTTTTAAGATTATTCGCATGGGGGTATTTCCCTGAGGTTGTGGTAAATAGCATTAAGATATAATTGTGTTGGTGCCAGAAATTTTGAAGTCCATGAATAACTTGTTCAGGAAATAAATTTTCATTAACTAGTTGCAAAACACGAATAAAAATTTGCTCAAAGTATTATCTGAAAGCCATTATTTAAAAGATAATAAATACATCAAATTATGTCTTTAAACTGTTTTACCAGTAGGAATGAAGAATGACTGCTGACATTTCTAAAATATCTACTTGTTTGTACTGGAGAAAGTCATTGATGAGTTTAGAGTTCAATATTAGACTATTCTAGGTTTTGAAGAAATCTGTTAGCAGTTTAATGTTATTTCTAAAAGAAATTTCAGATTTGTTAATTTTAGAATGTGGTAACATTTCTTTGAAAACTGAGGTAAAGAAAGCTTGGAAATAGGACTGTATTTATATGTTCTGAATTGCAGTTGACACCTCCAAATTCTGAAGCTGGCTGAAATTGCCTAAAAAGGAGAATGTATTTAACACCCTGTATAATGGCATTGCTGAAACTTTCCTCAAGTGTTAGAGAAAGATTGAATAAATGTTACATCTTGATGGCTGAAGGCAGTAGCATTGTGTCTGACACCTGACCCATTTCTCTCACTTCGTGAACTTAAAATAAATCAACAGACATCATCATGACTTTTCTAATTAGAGAATATAATGAATCCGAGTTTACCTTCTCATTTGGTTTGTATCTTCTTACAATATTTACAACAATGGCCTTTAATGTGCTTACTTATGCTGTAAATTTTGCTAGGCCAGTCACCTCAATAAAATTTTCATAATTCTTTGCTTTGAGATGTGGCATATCTGATTTATCTGTCATCTCCAAGATAATGGTAAGGCTATGCATTATATCCTTGCTTTTTTTTTTTCCTCAGTGTATAATGCTGTGTGTTCTGAGTTTCTGCTAGGCTTATATACATGATTTCATTCAGTCTTCAATAAAGAAACTGTAGTTACTTTAAAATTTGGGTGTACTCATAATCTATAGCTCTTCTTTAAATGTATGGGATGGAGGGGGGAAAAAAAGAAACACTTCAGGTTAGACTGTAAACATAATACATTATCAATAAATTTCAAAGCAGAAAGAATTAGTCTCCAGGGTATACAGTTTCTTAGTCTTGGCTTCCAGCCAGTGCTGATATTCTAGTTTTATTTTATAAGTTTCCTCAGCTGCTGTTCAAATCTGGGGAGGAGGCAGCAGGCAGAATCATCTGGTTTGAACACAGGATGGTAAATGCTTTGCTCTTCTCCCTGAGCAGTTGCTACTAAATGAAACACAGGAAGTTTGATCTTTGAATTTTATTCTCAAAGGCCTCTATTTCGCTCAAACAAGAACTGCAGGTGGATCATATGAACATTAAATCTTCTGGGAACAACTGTTAATACTGCTTCAGAAACATTCACTTAACATTTTCAAGAATTCGTGTTAAAGCGGATATTGAAATATGAAACAAATTTAGTCCAAAAGACAAAGTGCTTTACTTGGAGACAGGAAATAATAGATGTTACAGTTCTAACACATTAATAAAATATTTTTTAAAATTAGCAAGGTGAACATATATATGATAAACAAATATAAAAATCCCAGTTGTAATTTTCTACATATATATAGCATTTTCATACATTTAGCACTTTTTTAAAAAAGAGATTTTAAAACCTCATGACTTAAGAGTAATGCTTAAGTTTCTCAATTGCATCCGTAGTGATTTTCATGTGACAGTAAAGAAATCACATGCATTGCAAATCTTAAAAGAATTTGCTTCTTATCAACATTTGGTGACCAGTTACCAATCCTGAAGAGTTTAAATAAGTTATTCTTTCTATGATCAGTTCCCCAACATATTGCATTAGTTTGTTAGGACTCATCTATGGATGTGAATGTTGTGTAATAATCATCACCGGAAGCTGGTTCAATATTCTTCATTCTGATAAATGACAGCAAACATACCACAGTTAAATTCTCATCTATTCACTCAAAGAAATCTCTAACTACTTGTGAATACATTTTCTGCTTCCTAGTTTTGGGAAAATGTATCCACTTCTAGTCACTTCTGTCTTCCTTAATCTCGTTTTGCAATAAGAGACACTAGTATTTTGTCCGTGAGAAAGTGGATCACAAAGAGTTCTACGAGTTGTAAATACAGATACTGCTCTTGGTATGCAATTCACTTTAAAACATTTATGATCCTATGACAACAAAAAACATCCTAAAAAAAAATCACTATGAATGGAACCAAAGGTGAGTTTGAAAGTAATATGATAAAGGGATATATGGTTTAAACTTTTTTCAGAAATTATGTTAAAACTCCCAGTATATCTTATCTATCTTGTAATTAATGAAGCATTATCACTTGGAGCTACTGTCATAGTAACTCTGAAAATAAGTGTTTTCAATCAGGACAAAATATAAGAAAAATAAAGTTTATGTTTCATTTTTATTTAACTTTTTATACCTGCAAATTGTAGGGAATGGGCTAAAAATATGTTATTTAAACATGTTTTCACCTCAACTTATTTTATGCATGAAGGTTTTACATATATTTGCAGGTGTGAAGTAAAAACTGTTTCTGTTCTCCTGGGAATAGATTCTCATGGCATATGGCATATATTGTTCTAGGAATTTCCTTTTGGAACAGGAGCTAGGAGGAAAGCATTCGTTTCTTCAAGCAATTTATAATTCTATCTTACAGTTTCAAATGCCTGTGACAGCTGTTTCTCTAAAGCAGACCATTAGAAGAAAGCATGCCTGTAAATCTCAGGTCCCAAGAAAAGGGATTCTCATCTTGGGTCATTTGAATGCTGTATTATCAATAATACTTCTGGAGGAAACATCTATAATCCCACTGTCAGCTTTTCACGTTGCGTTTGTAAAATTGGCAATCTCAATATGAAAACTCTTAAAAAAATGTTTCCAATTGAAGTGTTTCTTTATGCAAATGCTCTGGCAACTGTTTAAAATAGTTTAAGTTCTATCTGGTTCTCAGGCAGGATTTTATCTCCCTTTTGTAGTGCCAATATAACTTCTTCAAAGCATAGTGACAGGTAAGCACACACATGCTGAAAATCGAGACAGATTATGGTTTAAAAGCAGAGTCCTTTCTTACACAAATATTCCACGAATAAAACTTTATTGTGTCTAACTTATTTAGGTAGCTAAGCAACATATATCCATTAATTGTACACACCACGTTTCTGGAAATTAAGCATTGACTTACCTAGAGAAGACTTTCATTTTTTTTTTCTGTCTCTTTTTCTAATTTGAATTTATCCGGAGTACTAACACGAGATATCCAGTATTCAGGTTGACTTAACTCCAGGTTAATTAGAAGGAGCTTTCAGTTCAGGCAGTCTGCCTCTACAATAGTCCGAGAGCACTCTTTAGCGACAGTCCTAGCATCTGAACTCTTCCAGCACAGTCTTTTTATTTATACACACATTGTCCTTTTCAAAACAAGCAGCCAGCTGGAATGATTCAAACCTCTGTTCAGCACACCGTTAAAATGCAGCTTCCTTCTTGGACACGAGAATTACACCAGGGAGCAGACCCAGTACAGCAAAAAGGCTATGAGAACTATTTAATCACCGGAATACCAGCTGCTCCTGCTCTGCTGCTGCTCCTGCTGCTCTGCCTCTTGTTGAGCTGTGCTCGGTCTTTCCCTCCCTCCCTCTTTCTCTCATATCTACAGAACTATAAAGGCAGCTTTGCCGGATTATGATTGGCAGAAGCAGCCAATTCTCCTAGCTAATCATCCTCCAGACTTTCAAGGACCTGGAGCTGCTGTGATGTCATCCAGTCAGTGTGGCTGTTACACACGAATCCATTCCAACAGAAGCTAATTCAGCTATCGCTGCATCCTCTCCCGCCACCGTGATTGATTAGATGCTCTTTGAAAATTTACCTAATCTTTCACTGTACAGATGGACGGTTCTCCATGAAATTAAATAATAAAATCTCACTTTGCTCCACTGATACTGGACTACAGAATTCTAGTGGGTAAAAAGAAAAGTTTGAGACAGTGTCTTCTGCTATTAATCTGTGTTAAACACACGAATTGTGAATTCAACAAAAGGCAACAAGGAACAATCCGAAAGCTGGAGAAGTGTTAGTAAACTACATACTGCGAAAGCTATTAGCATTCTAGACAATAATGAATGTAGAAGAAAGGCTGTGTATAAATGTATTTATTGTATTATTGCTTTATACCTTCAAATAAATTGCTGCATAACTGTGGAAAGTTATTTTGTATTTACAGCAATAACAACAACAACAAAAACAACAACAAAAGTCTCCATGTGTTATACTGTTGCTTCAAAGTGTAGGATGAAAATTGCACGATCTTTATTTTCTTGTAATTCAGGGAAACTCATAAAGACATTTGTACAGAAGTTTTCAATACTTTATGTAAGGTTCTTTAAACATTTTTATTGGAATACACACAAGATTAAAATGAAATGCTTTCAAGTACATTGCTTCATTCCAGAACATATTGTTCCTAGGCTCCTCTTGCAGCAATGCCTTATTTAGTCTTCATCATTTAATTTAGCAGAACAAGATATGCTAATAATAATTTGGGCCAATGCTATCTATAGGATGGAAGACAGATCCACAAATTATGTGGAGTTCCCAGTGTCCCTCTGGCAAATATATGTGTGTACTTGGAAATGGTTCTGCATGAAACTGAAGCAAGATGGCAAGACACTCTTATGACTTCATGCAGAATAGGAGGGAGTTCCTCAAAACTCAGCATTATAATTTTAGTGTGTTCAGGATTCCTTGTGTGGTCATTCTGCACAAGGTCAGGAGGTGGTGGACATATGCTAAAGAGAGGCTAGGAATAGCAGAAACTGGAGAGTAGAAAGAATATTAATGATTCATAAATAGCAAATATAGTCCATGACATGGTACTTCACATGTCAGCCATTTCTTAGACGTATAAGGGAAATGTATTATGAAAAATTATATTTTAAACATCATCGAAGAAATATCCAGTAACTTTTTGGAAACCTGCAAGAAGGATTGATAATTATAGGTACCTTGAAGATCAAATCAAAATTTTCATTGTGATACACATCAAAACTTCAAATGAATAAATAAATTGCAATTATATATCCAATTAATATTATAGTGAAACACTAATTTCTGCAATGACATCATGTGAAATAATAGAACCAGATGAATAACATAAAATATACCTTTAAAAGCTGATTGAATATTTCGTTTCAGTAGTTTCACTAAATAATATTTTCTCACTATTCAAATTTAGTAGCTATTTCAAATGTTACTTTTACAGAAACAGGGGAAATGAAATGAAACAATGTTAACATATTGTAACATATTTGTCTTTATCTTATTAGCATACTTACATTTCAAAATCTGTAAAAATATCATGTCATCAGAATAATTTTAGTTGCTGAAATTAAGTGACAGAATAAACTAAGTTATTGTGATTACAAATGCTTGCATTAAAATATGGAACATAACTGCATCCTTAAATGTGATGCTTACTGCAGGCGATGTTAACTGAGTGAAGTGGCAGCTGTCATTGGTTTTGTTTCAAATATTACTCTATAAGCCACACTTTTATCTGAAGAAACAACTAACTGAATTATCTGAAAATTAATTGGAAATTACTTTGAGAGTACAAGGAGACACATCTATACATGTAAGCATTATATAAAATGTAAAAATAATGTTATAATTAAGCCACACCCTAAATTACTGTCAAATGTTAACTCCTATAAACAAAATATTACAGGGGTATAGAGTTAAAATGTATCAGAAGGAAAACAAATCATCTTACTATTCTTTACATTTGCTTGCTTATTTTAAAATAAACATTGAGGAGGAAAGGGCCAATGAGAAGCATATATACAAATGAATGGAACCAACCCAACAAAACTGGTAACTCTATGTAGTAGAAACAGGCAACACTCAGACTAAATACATGAAAACAAAACAGACCCAAATGAAACTTGAATTATTTTTTAATTCCTTCAAACATTGCTTTTTTTCAATGGTTTAGAAAAATTTTATTTCTGGCATTATTATCTTTTATTATTCCAGTTCTAAATGCCATCATGCATCGCGGGGAGGAAATGTAAATTCAAGAAGAGAGAAAAAAATTATTTGCTCAAAAAAAAGTTTAGTCACTTAATCTGCTTTCCACAGATAAGTGGTCTTGAACTCCTGTCAGATGTAGTATAAATTTAGTCTGTATTACGCTAGTTGATTCAAAAGACTTATCCATCTGTTTACAGCTAAATTCTATAAATGGGAAAGTGCATACTCTTATTTTCCTCATGACAGCCCATGAAGTAAGTAGGAGGATTCTTTTAACTATTAACATGTAAATACAGACTTATACTAAGACCTCAAAAATTTATTTTATATCTAATTGAACTTATTGAGACTATTAACCTTTTTTGAAATCCATATATTTCATTCAAATTTTTATTTTCCTTTGCTAAATGAAAAATTAGTATTTGATTATTAACTTAGAAATCAACTTTTCAAACTTTTGGTTGGGGCAGTTATCTAACATCCACTGGTTCACCACCCAATGTCCACAAGAACTGAGCTTAGGCCAGGCTGAAGCTACGTACTTACCTGGGTGACAGGAACACAACTTGAGCCATCATCTGCTGCTCCCCAGGATGTAAATTAGCAGGAAATCACAATGAAAACAAAGAAAGTGAAGCCTGAATTAGGCACTAAGATATAAGATGGAGAAATCCCAAGTAGAATCTACGGCACCAAACTAAGTGCTTTACCCAGCTAGTTGCGTCTAAACATTGAATAGCTAGTGTCATGGTGTAGACACCAGCATCCCTCATAGGAGCTGATTCTTTTCCTGACTGTTCCATTTTCAACCTCATTGCCTGCTAATACGCCTGGAAAAATCAACAAAGGATGGCTCAAATATTGGGCTCCTAGACCTACTTGGAAGACTCAGAAGGAGCTTGTGGCTCCGGTCTTTGGGTTGCTCCAGGTTCAGCTAGTGCAGTCACTTGACAAACAAACAAGTATGGATGGAGGTACATCTTTCTCTTCCTTGTCTTTCTGTCACTCTGCCTTTCATTTAAATCAATCAATCAAATCAATCAATCTCTGGGGAAAATAGAATTTTCCTTGAAAGCTTAAAAAAGACGTGCATGTTTCAAATGCTGGTTTTGAAAGTGTGGATGGAAATGAAAAAGAAATGAAAACATATTACATGCGTATAAATAATATAAATCATAAACATTGCAACACAAATATGTACTTTATGTAGCCTATTTATTAAATAAAAAAACAAACACCCACGCATTAGAAAGGTAAATTCATTTATAATTCTCCAGTTATTACAGTGAACTAAAAATGAAATCCTAATAGCATACAACAGAAAAATTTAGTAAACTTCAAAATTTCAAAAAGTGTATTGCCTTTTTCTTATTACTATTAATTTTGGTAATTATTATTAACACAAGTTTCAAATGCATATATCTAAAATAAATATAAATTTAGAAAGAAATTTCAAAAGTGTTACCAAATTCCTTACAATTATTTATTTTATTTTAAAACTCACTTCATATGCATGAATGTATTGCATGTAGGAGATATTTTACCTTTAATATGCAGCTTTATTCTTACAAGGTTTTTCCCTTCTTTAAATCTACCATAATATTAAGGTAATATAAATATTCAAATTCATATTTCCCTTGATTTTGATTGCTTGCTATTAAGTCAAACTGTTAATGTTAATATGTAAGTAAATTCTTTTACTATAGTACCAGCATTATCTGTCCTTTTTTTTTTTAATAGCAAGCAGTTGGCTTGTTGCCTTAACATTGAAAAATATTATTCTACTCTGAAAAGAGCAAATTTGACAAAGGAAACTGTTCTGTTACAGCTTTTGTGTGTGGTATGGAAATCCTTTGCTTGGACTATGAATGACTAATGTGGAATGAATATATATTCTTGCAAATAGCATGTCATATTGTACATTTTGTGGGTGCAGTTAAATATTTAATGCATATTTAGTGTCAGCTGATCAAAACTCATTGTACAAGAAGCAGTCTAGCAATTACTGGGAATGACCTTTGTAAGAAAGGAAGAGCATGCCATCAGTCCATTCATATAACACAGGGAGAGAAAAATCAGTGTAAAATTGTCACATTCATGTCACTAGCAAGTCACAGATTTCAATGTTATCACACATTTTTTAAAAGATTTATTTATTTTTTTTTATTGCAAAGTCAGATGTACAGAGAGGAGGAGAGACATGGATAAAGATCTGTCATCTGATGATTCACTCCCCAAGAGGCCCCAACCACCAGAGCTGAGCCATTCCAAAACCAGGACCCAGGAGCTCTTCCAGGTCTCCCATGCAGGTGCAGGGTCCCAAGGCTTTGGGCCATCCTTGACTGCTTTCCCAAACCACAAGTAGGGAACTAGATGAGGAATGGGGCAGCAGGAATTAGAACTGGGATTCTGGTGGGGGTGAGGCAAGGACTTCAGCCACTCTTATGGCTCATCTTAATCTTTGGTTAGCAAGTCACTGAATGAAGGCAAAGATTAAGAACCACACACTGGAAGAAAGAATCATTGCAGTAATCCCCATAGTGCACGTTTTAGCGAGAGAAACAGCACTATGTTAGTATTTTCAATAAAACCTTTAAAGAT